AAAGGAGAAATCAGTCATTTTAAAACAAATAGTATTTTCTGACTGAAGGGTTATTCTGAACTTCTTACTTTCTGGCATAGTTTTTCAAAGGCTGGTATTTTCTTTCTGTGCAAATGCTAAAGTTGTGGTTAAACCATGGAATTTTAAGATTGTGGGTTTTGGTTTTCTGAGTAGCCAAGCAGGTATTTGGCAAGTGTCAGCCTCTGGAATTTGTCTTGCTACACTTCACTCTCTTGTGATTGCACAGTAAAAACTGGTTGAAGTGAAGTAATTTAATGTACAGATTTCAATTCTGTTAGTTGTCAGAACTATGAATATACCGAAACAATGCATTTATTTTCAAAACCACATATTTGGTCTCACACATTGTCACAGCATTATATAAATTTTAAATAATTTTCAGTAATTGCCTTTCTACCCCAATTCTGTAAATATTTTGTTGGTTTTGATATGCAAAAGGAGTGATAGAGCCCCAATAATATCTCGTTTTCTCATTTAGAGTTCACTCAGTAGTAGCCACTTGCTTATCCAAAGGGGACCACTTTGCTTCACTTTGTACAGACTTTTTTCACTCAGATTATTACCTTAAATGCTCCAATCTGACAGGAAGTTTCACCATTTTCAGATGTGAGATTGATGATGGAGATAGCTTTTACTTAAGCCTTTGTCTAAAGGTTTTCATGAGGTCTTGTGCTGCGCTAAGTAAATAATGCTAGCCACATGTTAAAGCTGCCAAGATAGCTACACTGAAAATATTAGGAAAGGAAAGAAGATTCTGATTCCAATACTGCTTAAAATACCTGCTTGCATGTGTGTTAGCACATGTGCCATACCAGTGCTGTGTACTGATTCTGCAGAATATCTAACAGAACAGTGTTAAACATAGTATAAGGGCTTTTTTTCTCTTGTTTGTTTTGTATCCTAATATTTTCATCTTTTATCTGCTTTTTCAGTTTCTGCTTTTTCTGTCCTTGGCGTGTGCCTGGTCTGTGTCCTTTATTTCTGCTCTGAGCTTCCTAACTGTTTCATAGGGATCATTGTTCTTTCTCTGAGGACTGCAAAGGAGGCTTTAGCCTTCAGGCTCTGAGGAGTGGGGATTTAGCTTCTATCATCAGAACACTTAATATACGTCAGCGCATTAATGTAACATTTTGTATTCTGCAGGTTGGGAATCCACGTGTTGAGCTTACTCTTTCTGAACTTCAAGATATGGCTGCCCGACAACAGCAGCAGATTGAAAATCAACAGCAAATGCTGGTTGCTAAGGTAATAATTATATACAGATCATAATAAATACAAATTTCTTTCACCATATGCAAGTGTAATTTTCATGGATTTAAAAAAAAACATTCAGTCTAGATAAGCTCAGGAAGACTTGAATCCATTGTTTTACCAAGTTAATCAGGCAATATACAACATTTCAGTGTAAATGACACTATAATAACCTATGTCAGGCCGAGTTACGTGTCTTTAGAAAAAAATATTAAAAACTTTTATTTGTCTCTTTTGTGGGGCCCACTTCATGATCTGTTATACATCAGGCTTGACTTTATGCTCATCTTTAGTAGCTCATTCACTCCACTATAGCAATAGTGCTGTGAGATTGTGCCCACTTCATATATATTTACGTATTACATTTCCGAAGTCCCTGTATTACAAGAATCAAGGTATGTTTTCAGAGTGAGGAGTGGGTTTAATGTTTCTGACATTGTTGTGTTAACAATATACAGTATGCATTGGATGCTTGGAGTACCTAGGAATCAGTCTATCAATTTTGTAGCTCTTTCTTGATGGAAATAATGTGGAAAAGGAAACATTTTCCTTGTGTGCCCAGCAGGCGGACTGTTATTTAGAACTGGAACTTGATCTTGGGGTAGGTCAACTTGTTAAAAATGGTGTGTCGGACCTATTTTGTTGCCTGTGGGAAGCCAGATAACATCATTGCAAGTTTGTTTTGCAATGGCAGGAGATGAGTTAATAGTGTCAGCAAACAAATGCCAGAGGAAGCTTCATGTGCATTTGAATGAGTGTTCCGGTGAGGGTTGTAATTGCACATATATGTAAATTTGGTCTAAAAAATCTTAAATCTCTGCTGTAAAACAGATTTAACAATGTAGAGCACTTTTCTAGAGGGACTGATAAATCTTTTAACCTTTTAACTTCATTTTTAACAGCAACCTTTTCTGATTTCTGGAAATATAAAACCCCACTGATCATCATGATGTGTTTCTCCAAGGTAATTTTATCATTTTATCATTTTATCAGGAACAACGTTTGCGTTATCTGAAGCAGCAAGAACGTCGTCAGCAGCAGTCTGTTTCTGAGAGTGAAAAGCTCCAGAAACTTAAAGAACGTGTTGAAACCCAGGAGACAAAGCTGAAAAAAATCCGTGCCATGAGAGGACAAGTGGACTACAGCAAGATAATGAATGGCAATCTGTGTACGTAGAATTTTTAAGGAGCATACTTGGTTTAATTTACTGTTTTCTGCATGACTAGCAAATAATGCTATATTGCTTGTCATTATAGCATTGAAACAGGATTTCAGATAGATTTTTTTCTTTTTGTCTTAGAGGGTGTGCTGTGTTTCTATGAAATATGTATATGTTGGAACTTCTTGTTTTCTATACTCAGACTAAGTTAGAATAAGTCTGTTCTCTTAATATTAGGAAATACTACGACTGTTAGCAAATTCCCAACACATAAATATTTTATATGAGTATGTATGTACTAGATTTAAAACTGAAGTGTTGTATTTATCAGTACCTGTAGAATTAAAATATTAACTTCTGCGTTACTTAATTGCTTTTTGGTTTTTTATCTTGTTAATTTTAGCAACTGAAATTGAGCATATAAGTGCCATGTTCCAGGAAAAGCAGCAGGAGCTACAGGCTGCAGTGTTAAAAGTGGATCAGCTTACTCAGCAACTGGAGGATTTAAGGAAAGGGAAACTCAATGGGTTTCAGTCTTATAATGGACAAATGACGGGACCTGCAGCAATAGAATTGAAAAAGTTGTATCAAGAGCTACAAGTAAGTAATGGAGAGATGCTATTTGGATGTCAGCTGTAGATTTTAAAAAAGTAGTATTACTATACTTATGTATAGCCATTTGGTTCTGAAACATCTCATAATATGGGTGTATTGGAAAGCTGTCGATGTGTGAGGTTGTAGTGAGCATATAACTCTCTTTAAAATAGAATCTCATTAGCTTTAAGAACTATTTTTGTTGTTGCTCATACACATTATGATACAAAGTGCACAAGTGTTCTGAAGGGCATTTCTCAGCCCCTAATACTGCAGTGCTGACTGTTGACATAATCTATTTCTTCTAATCTCTCAATAAATTAAAAAAAAAATAAATTGTATTTTTCTATTTTTCAAAAGAACTGGATGTAGCAAGCTCATATAGATGGCATCTTCACTTGGAGACATGACTGGGCAGTGAATAAAAGTAAATTTAAACTACATTAGGAAAATACAGCTATTATATCTTGTGTGAATAAAGAAAATACATAAGACTTAAATTACACAATTTAACAGAATCATCAAAAATAGAAGCCGCACTATGTTTACTGCACTATATAGTGCTCTATAGCTGCGGTATACTTACACAGCATTCCCTGTATCCCTATTGTTTATCTTCCTCCAAGGAGGCTGTTAAATCTGAAGTGCAGTTCTTGCATAAGTAATAAAATACTCAACTTATATTGAAATTCTGTCCAGTTTTTATGTTTAAAAGTTATGGAATTCTTAACTATGTGCCAATGTGTCAGGATTTGAGGGCTTTTTTTAATTTACTCATGTACTTTATTGTAATCAAGACAACAACTCGAATATATTTAATATACCAAAATCAGTCTCAACCACTTCTTATATGGGCAAGTACAATATAACACAAGATCATGTGTTTTGATTAAGTAGGAATGATTCCTTTTTTTCTCCTCTTTTTCCCCTTTAAACATTTATACAAGGCATATATGCCTTGTGAGTATTTTGAAGTGCTAAGATGCTCAATAGATTAAGATTTCTTTTGTGCTTCACAGCGATGCCATACACATTTGTCAAGACTTAAATTTGCCTCAGGTGTTTTTTGCATGTCACATTACCATGAAAATTGAAACACTGAGACAATACTGTCAGAGTTATTGAAGGTATGAAAAAATGCCAGTGGGAAAGCAAGAGAAGTAATTATAAACACTGTCATGGTTGATTTAAGCCATAAAGGTAATCCATGCCCTAATCTGCTGGAAACCTGCTGTGAAGGTTTCAGTGTAATCCTGGTGTAGAGAGGAAAATCTGTGCCAAGTCCCTGCACTAGCAGTTCAGTTAACCTGACATCAAGAAGTTTCATGTGGAACTGGAAATAGAATCAGTAGCATAATTTCTGTTACAAATTGTGTATCACTGAGTTTTCATGTTAATCAGTCTCAGTTAAACATAACTTTTAATAAACATTTTCTATGATTTAATTTTTCACAGTGGATTTCAGTTCTGAAATGGCTCTATGCCTATTTCTTCAATCCATTTGCTATAAATGGGATGCAGCCTACATGTATTTAATAGGTATCCACTAGTTTTATTAGGACATTCTTTTGCTGTTTTCCTTTAAGAGTTGTGGCTGCAAATGCTTATTTGACAGGCCATGTAACATTAGAGATGTCAGAAAAAGTTGCCAAATCAAGTTGCTTTGTGTTTTTTAACACTGTATTAAAAAACAAGTTGACAACAGACAGAATGAAGTAACAGAATGAAGGAACTGCCCTAACAAGTGCTTTTTTCTTTCTCTCTTCCTTTCTTTCTATTTTTTTCCCCTTTTTTAAGATTCGTAACAGGCTTAACCAGGAGCAGAACTCCAAGCTTCAGCAGCAAAAAGAACTCTTGAACAAACGCAATATGGAGGTGGCTATGATGGACAAGCGAATCAATGAGCTGCGCGAACGACTATACAAGAAAAAAGTTGAGGCACGTCAAAAAGAAAACATTCCTGTAAGATAAACTGTTAAAAGGGCCACACTTTAGTTTATCAAGAGCCTATAAAAACTACACTTTTTCCCAACTGCATAACACGATTACATCAAAGAACCTGTTTTAAAAGTAATAGGCTTCTTAAAAAGTATTATAAAGTTTTCCATACAAGAAAACTGATAGACCAAGTGTATTTTCTTTTTCTTTATAGCACAGATCATAGTATATTAAAAATTATGGTAGTTTATGTTTCTAGGAAGGAAAGTGTAATTATGGGCTGTGTTTCAAAGCATGAAAGCGCAACAGTTTGGGTTTTATAAAATACTTATCTTCCAGTTTGGAAAATTGAAAATATGTAAGTGGTCTGGTAAAGTTAGCCTCAATAGCTGCCTGGAACTTTGATAAGAAATCACAGTATCACAGTATGTTAGAGATTGGAAGGGACCTCAAAAGATCATCTAGTCCAATCCCCCTGCCAGAGCAGGAACACCTAGATAAGGTTACACAGGAACGTGTCCAGGCGGGTTTTGAATGTCTCCAGAGAAGGAGACTCCACGACCTCCCTGGGCAGCCTGTTCCAGTGTTCTGTCACCCTCACTGAGAAGTTTCTTCTCAAGTTTAAGTGGAACCTCTTGTGTTCCAGTTTGTACCCATTTCCCCTTGTCCTATCATTGTTTGCCACTGAGAAGAGCCTGGCTCCATCCTCGTGACACTCCCCCTTTATATATTTATATACACTAATAAGGTCACCCCTCAATCTCCTCCAAACTATAGAGACCCAGCTCCCTCAGTCTTTCCTCATAAGGGAGATGCTCCACTCCCTTAATCATCTTAGTTGCCCTGCGCTAGACTCTCTCCAGCAGGTCCCTGTCCTTCTTAAACTGAGGGGCCCAGAACTGGACACAATATTCCAGATGAGGTCTCACCAGGGCAGAGTAGACCATTTATCTAAGGATCAGAGAGATCAATTCTGGATTTCCACACATATTCGTAGCTGGAGGTATTGCTCTAAAAAAAAAAACAAACAAACAAACAAAAAAAAAAAAACAAAAAAACCAAACCAAACAAACCACACATACATAGTTGAACACTTAAGAACTCATTTTAGTCCATTTGCCTAAGAAAGGCCCAGTGAAAGTGACCTTACACAGATAGAGCTCTCTACAAGAAATTTATTTGCTGTGGCTGAGAAATCTAATTTTTCATGTGTTGATTTTAACAAATGAAACTTGTACTTTATGCTTTTTTTTGTAGAAGCATGGAGTATGGTAACCTAATTATTAACGTGTCTTGGCTATAGTGCATGGTTCTAGTAATTAAATCTAGACCTCCTGTTCATGCACAAATGCCTAGGGTAAATGGAAGTTCACATTTCAATTTGTCTGGTTTTTTTTTTAGTTGAATCGTATTAATGGCACTTCCTCACCCCAGTCATCCCTGAGTGCTTCAGGAAGGGTGGCAGCAGTAGGACCTTACATCCAAGTTCCAAGTGCTGGCACTTATGCTGTACCAGTAGATCCAGTTAAGCCACAGTCTCTCACCATTACTTCTAGCTCAACACATGGAAGATCAAAATCTGGTAAGTACTTCAGTGTGGTGCTTATTAATACATATGGTTTGGAAAGGAGTAATAAAGAAAGAGTAATCTTGGGAGCACCAGTGTTGGCATAATCACTGTACTTGAGGAGGTGTTTCAGATGTCTTGATACTGTTCTGTGAATTGGACATTAGTCATTTGTTATGAGGTGGTTTTGCTTCTTTCCATTAATTTTTCTTAGGAGACTTGAGTGTTTTCTTTGAAATTTTACTAGATGGCACACAGCTAAAAGGAGCACACATTCCTTCACAGATTCTTTGTTTTGTCTTTAATAGTTTTTCAGTTAGTGCATTTGAATATAATAATTAATGAATAATCAACTTTGTGGTAAACTATATTATAAACAGCCATTTACAGTTTGTTGCTTTTTGTCAAGTAAAAGAAAACTAGTAAACAATAACATAATAATACTTCCCAGGAGACCATATAAGAAAAGAAGCTGGGGGAAGCTTGCAGCATGCTTCCAGATGGGGAGGAAGAAGTAGAGGAAAGACAGTCTGGTCTTATGGAAAAGTTGTAAGCCTAAGGAATTACTTTAATTGTGAAGTGAGAGTTTTGTTTTCAGACGTGGATTCCTCTTTCACGTATGGGAAAGGACGGTTCATAACTTTTTAAGTTCACCAACCAAAAATAAGTCACTGTGTTTATTACACCAAAGGTATTTGAATATTCTGTGAGATAGATTTATGTAAGGAGAAGCTTATATGCTCCCAGGTAGAAAAGCATTTAGGATTTTTTTTTTCAACTGTCATGCTTTTATTTTTCATTATTTGAGTGTTCCTGTTCTAATTTCTCCATTGTCATTGTTATAATTTTCCCACCACTTTTTTTCTTTCTTTTTCTGTGTAACTGGATCTGCCTTGGTGTGTCCGGTAGAGACAGACTGTGGGTGTGTGAAAAAATCTCCAGACACGTGGAAGGTTTCTGATTTAGACATAATAGTGGATCCTATTCTGTCACCTCCCACTTCTCTTCACTCCGCTGTTCACAATGTCATCCGCCTGGCACCTACTCTGTTTGACACCCAGCACTGTGAGTCCGTAGAAGATCTCTGGCTAGCTAAGAATGCAGGTTTTAATATGGTCATCTGAGCTCTTGCATACAGATGCATATTAAACAGCATCTTTAGAACTTGTGTTGCGGTCTGGCATGCAGAAAATTATGTTGAAATATAAAATTGTTGAGAAGTTGCTTTTCATCTTTGAAGGAAACAGATGATTTACAGCAAATCCATCCCTGGAGTACTGAAGTAGTGTACTAGGGATGTGTTTTCTTCATTTAAAAACCTTGACATTTTCTAATTGTAATTAGAAAATTTTATGGTAATCACCAAAGCATGTACTAGTGTATCTCAGATAAGATAGATGTATTACATACAGGTTTAGCTTGAGTTACTTTGTGGGGAAATTTTGAGTTCCTATGTTGCACTGGCCCAAGAGTTGGGATAAAAGCTCACTCTGTCCTCAGCATGAATCTTGCTTCTTTCATTGGACAAAAAAGTTATACCTGGTTTGCTTTACTAAGTATCCTGCATCCCAACCTACAAAAATTTTTAGGTGAAGTCAGAGAAAACACACAAAACCTTTTGTGTCTACATGTTACTATCTTATTTGTGTAAATGCAAAATGGAGTGATGAGAGTTGAAATACTCTGGGTGTTAGGTAGTCATACAAGCAGCAGACAAGAGGGTACATTTTTGGGGAGAAAAGAAGCCAGTTGGCTGAAATGGTTGTGGGGTGACTGAGAGCAGGAGCTAGTGAGGGCTTGTCGGAAGGGCGTTGCCATCAGATGGGCAAGAGTGTCTGGGACCAGCTCAGCCTCACCAAAGATAGCAGGAGGCAGGTGCTGTTTGGTTGCCTTCCCTTAGCACCTCCCAGGCAGCCTCTGGTGCCATACGCTGCAGTTGCAGATTGCAACAGAAGCTTAAGTGCACGAGATTCAGCTTGGCTTGTGGGAGTATGTGAGAGGTGTGCTCATAAAACATGCATGGTGGTTGGCAAGTCTGCCAGCTTGTAATAGGAAGGACATGAAAGTGGGAACAGTTACATCTGATGCTTATGTAAGTAAAATGAAACAGAGAGGTTGAGAGTCTGAGTTTACTTCTAGTCTGCTACCTCAGAATTTGGGGGTGAACATGCTAGTATTTGGAATTCCAAGGATTACAAAAAGTTTTTTTTATAATTAACAGAAGAGTGTGGGCTTGTGTTTCGCAGGTAAGAGAATTAAAGTCTTTGCTACTTTTGCTGTTGTTACTGTAAGTGCTTTCTTAATAGCTAAATTTATGGCTAAATATGGTTTTGTGTTTAGCATGAATCAGTTATAACACCTTTTATTGATCTTCAGAAGCTTTACTGAATCATAACCTTTCTGGAGTTACGGAACATCCTGTGTAGATTGTACTCTAAATGTTAATTCAGAGCATACGTGGAAAATTTGCCCTTATTTAGGGTCAGAGTGTCTAGGAGTAATCTTCCTTGGTCTTGCTTTTGATAACCACATGACTGAAGCTAATAACAAACAAAAACCGTAACATGTCCAGTTCTTGGATGTTGCCAGTACTAAAGCTGGGCCTCTTTACTTCCTGGCAGTTTGCAAGGGTGAATAGTCATTTCTGGTTTATATTCTCAGGGTAAAAATATGCAAGTGGTTTAATGACCAACCCCAAAAATACTCTTGCTCCAAAGTAATTCTCTCTCAGAATTCAAACACAGTTGATCTGAATTTGAAGTTTAATACAATATAGTTTGTGTAATATTAAAGGATGGTCTGCACATATAATTAAAAAATAATTACTATGGTAGCTTAAATGCAACAAACAGGTACTTCATTTTTGCTCACTTTAAAGCGAAGTTATTTTAACTAGCCTATAAATAGGTTTATGAGCTAATAGAGTGATTTTTGCACTCACAGTGAAAACACTGGTTGGTAATTGTCAAGAAATCTTCAGGTGGTCATTTCATGAACAGAAAGTAGAGTGGGAATGTTAAATTCACTCTAATGAGAATGTTTCTATGCAGCTTATTTATAGATTACCTGTTATACTAAACAGGGTGGCAAAGGATTCTGGAAGTAGCCTTTCTGATTCCATTTTCTAGGCACTTAAAACTGAAATGAAATGGGAAGTTACCATCAAATACCTCATTCTTACTCAATGGTTTCTTATTATGGGGTCCAGAAATCTCAGTAAAGCTCCACACATGTGCAAACCGCTGCCATTTTTTGTTGTTATCTTCTAGCATGGCTACGTGTCACATGTCATCTTTACTGATCCTAAGTGTTCCACTAAGATAATTCCAGGCAATAGGAAGGAGAAATGATACCTGGTTTCCTTGGAGTAAGAGAAACCTGAAGTTTTAATGTTTTCAAGGCAAATGAAAGCCTTAGGATCTAAACAGGGATCTATTTAGTTAGTATAAAACAGATCTAATTATCAGGCTATTTAAACACTCTTGCTTACTTACAGAACAGAAACCAAATAGTCTCACACAGCTGATAAAGTAACACATCAATGTACCTAGGACTTCTTAAAGATTTGTTGCCTCAGTTTATGTGCAGCTATGCATGACTGTTATGTACATGATAAAGACAAAAGCCCATGACTGGTATTTTGACACAGTGAGTTGAAGTTGTCAGCAGACTTTACTAATTTCTTTAAGATTAAGTCTCCGGGATAGTTCTGATCAGGTGAGTATGTTGAGGAAAGACAAAAGGTTAGTTAACTGCCACTGGCAGCACAGGAATGTAAGCTTTTGTTCCACCCCATTGTTTAAAGGAGTTTTTACATCCTGTTATGAGTGAATTAATAATCATAGTTGAAATTTGGAATAAGTACACTTCGAGCTTACATAGACTTAACATTTAGCATAATTTCACAGTGTATAATACCAAACGAAATACCTGGATGAAGTGTTTCCATAAGGATTTTTGTTCTGAATTTGTTTGCCTTCTAATAGCAGAATGTTCAATGCTCAAACAAAAATTTTAACCATATTTTTTTCTGTCGAAATTTTCAATGCAATTTGAATGTCAAAAGGTAATGAGCAGCATGTTATACACAGAGATTGCTCTCGGTATCAATTTCTGAATCAAACATGAAGAGTGAATTATCTCATTTCTGGAATCAAATTAATCCTGTTGTAATTGAAGCTATTCCATTTCACATGCTATTTTGCTTGTTTACAGTGGTTCTGTGGATTATTTTAAATACAGTGGTTTTGTCTGTTTTCAAGCTAATGATGGAAACTGGCCACTACTTAAACAGAGCTCAGCCCCTGTGGTAAAACCACCTCAGATCTCCAACACGGACTGGAAAGAATCAAGCATGGATACTGCTTTAAAACAAGGAGCTATATCCAGCCAGCCCTTGCCTACTTCAGTACTAGGAAGTACTGATAAGCTGGTGGGTTTCATCTGTGGTATATTTATAGATATG